GCATGTCTGCCCATATGCTGTTGGGTTGTGTACACTGCAAGTAATGGGAGGAACAGAAGGGAAGGTTGGAAAGAGGGGAGGAGAGGAACCCCCATCTTCTCCTTTAATATATGAACCAAGGTTTGTTTGGGTTTTCTGGACTGGTTTTGAAAGGCCAGGGCAAGGAGTTGAGCTTTCTTGGATTTGCAAAATTAGCAACTGGGAAACTTTGACCTATTGTGTCCTGGGTGTGTTGTGAATCCTTAGTGGCACCAACAATGTAAATAAAAGCCCACGGGGGATCTGAGACAGGACAATGTGCACAAAGCAAGGAGCCTGCTGGTTGCGCTTTTGTTGATGTCTGTGATGATCAGGAAATGCAGCAAGAGAGGGGCGACATGCTGCTCTTCTCTGCCTCAGTGAGGAAGCTCTGGGGTCCCAGTGTACACTGACTTCACTGGCTGAGGGTTCTTAATCAGGGATCTCAAACACACATGCACCTGTGGGTAGAGCAAGAAACCTCACTGAGTGCCTGGGCTGAGTGTAGCACAAGAGCTAGTGCCTGGGCTGTGGGGTGTCTCCTATTGTTGCCAAGCAGAAATAAGGCTAAACGTTGCCAGTTGCTCCCACATTTAAAGATGATCTGGAAACCCAGAGACTCCCCGGTTTTTAAAAATTGGATTTTAATTCATAAAGATCCTTTAAAACACTGGGGACCAAACAAAACCCATTTGCAGGCTGGGTTGAGCTGTGTGAGTGAGCAGTGTGCAGGGTCTGATCAGAATAAATGCAGAGGGCAGAGGGCAGGCAGTTGAAACACAAATAGGTACTGACCACCCCGCAAACTAATCCCAGAGGGGACCTTGGGGGAGGGCTCCCATCCAGCGGGAGAGGGTGCCTGCCTGTTCAGTCTTACTTAGGCATTTCACCTGGAAGAGTTAATGATGAATGCTTTCTCCCGAGCTATGAAGAAAGACGGTGTTGACAATATAGTGTTTTTGGTGATTAATGACTGAAAGTCACTCTCTACCCAAATGGATCAAGATTATCAAACAATCTAAAGGACTTAGGAATAATTACATCATGGTGCACTTGCGCATTATTTCTGAACAACACGGACCAACTGATTTCTCTCATTACTATTTTTATTCCTGACAAATGAATACATATAAAGGCAAAATCTCTAAGTGAGAGACAGGAATAATAATAATAATAATAATAATAATAATAATAATAATAATAAAGACCAAGATGTCTTGCTTACTTTTTATTTATTTCATCAAACATTTTTATTTTGATACAGTTGCAAGAATAGTAAAAAGAATTTTCATATGTCCTTCACACAGATTCTTCAAATGTTAAATTTTTACTGTACTTACTTTTCCAGTTTTCTGTCTTCCTCTCTCGGGAGTTGTTTGAAAGTGAATTGCAGACATAATGTCATTTTACCGCTAAATATTTCCAAGTGCATTTCTTAAAAATATTCTCTTATATAACTACACTACAGTTATCAAAATGAGGAAATTAACATTGATACAATATTAATAGCTATTTTAGAAACATACTGCAAATTTTGCTACTTGTCCCCAAAATATTCTTTATTGGAAAAGAAAACTCTGAAT